AGCAGCTCTCTGTATCCAGAAATTGGAAATATCTATCATAATGTCAGCTGGCCCTTTCCAGCTCCCGAGTCCAGTCTGGAATAGAGCTCTGAGCATGGCCACTGATGGGATAAAGAGAAATCTAAGCCTCGACAAAAACAATTGATTCCTGGAAACAACGGGAAGAGAAAGGAATAGGAAGGGCAAGTTTCCTGATCACAAGCCCTGGCAGAGAAGAACAGGAAGAAAAATAGAAATATGGATTCTCTAAAAACAGAAAAAGGAAAATGCATTAGGGAAATGTAATCAACCTTTCTAAGCACTCCTGGGAGAAAAAGCATTTGAAGTCTAGGTGGTGAATAGCATTAAGCTACAAAATGAAACACTCGAAGCAGCCATTTACTTTATATTCTTTTCAATGTGCTACCAGACACCAAACGAAAGCGTACAGACAAAAAAAAATACAGTATATCTCTTCTATAGTTTCTAAAAGATTAAGGAGACTAAGGAACAGAGTACCAAGTCTACTAAACCTTTAAAAAGAGAGAGAGAGAGAGAGAAAAATGGTTATATGGAGCAGTCCTTCCACAGTATTATGAATCACGGATAAGATTTTTAACTACGGAGAAAAAAAAATTCAAATATAGATCAAAATCAGAACTGCTTTTCTTTCATTTAAAAGAAAAAAGACACAGCTGAAATTCCCATATCCTTATTCAGGTTCTTTTGAACTCTTCCTCAGGTACCATCCCAGGTAAAGTCAGTACAGAGTAACTGTATAAAAGAATTGGTTGCGAAGTGGCAAATCTATTGGGCTCAGCCAGTTCTCCTGGATTTGAGAGCACAAAAACCACCCCCTCCCAAATGTGGAAGGCCGGGGAAGTCTTTCTTTCCTTGTCAAATCATTCAATACCAGTTTTATTGACTTTGTTCCAGTGGTCTTAAAAAAGGAGGGGAGTAAGGAGAGAGAAATGCCAGAAATGCTGAAGAAAAGCCAGAAGCTGCAAAGTGCTGCTACTAAAAAGAAGCTTGTGTTCTGCTGCAGGCTTCTTTCTGCAGTCATGGGCTCAAGGACTGCAGTGTTTAAACGTCACACAAATGCAACATTTTCATATTTCCTGACTTCTCCTTTGATTTTGATATTTTTAGAGATGCCTGACATTACAAATAGATACTTTTCATTTTAGTGAGTGATGCTTCTCATTAGCACATAAAGATTATGAGATAAAAGAAATAGACAAAGTTTGTGTTTTATAGAAGGTATTTTGTGTATCCTTGGTGTCAGTTGTGAGCTATTGCAGTGATGAGTTAGTATTCCGTGTTTAAGTGCCATACTCATTTCCTGAATGACATGGTGGAGCACATTCGGGGCTCATTAAATTTCCAACCATTCCAAAACAGCAACAGGTGGTAAAGTTTCTCCAGCGTGTCACACACAGCTTCATCACTGTCTTGAAATAACTGATTGTGCTTGTGTTTCCTCCATGGCACCAAATGATACTGAAAAGATGAAAAAGAACAAGAGGAACTCCCAAAACATCTGCAAGCACATGGGGAATGAGTCTAGGAAAATAATTTATAATGACCCTGTTGCATACTCTGAATTCAACCATGGTACTTGCATGCCCTTCTGAGGCTGTGATCCATTCAGACTACAATATCACATTCAACCAAGCTCTAGAGGGCTTTATGGAAGGTACATTTATTAACTGAAAAGGGTATTGCAAGTAGCTGAAAAATTCCCAATGATTAGAATTTAGTAATCCTTTAGTTTGGGTACTCTTTCAAGAAAACTGGTCTGGGTGCTTTAGGAATGTTCTGTATCCACAAGAAGATAGATGAGAGCCAGCTGGAAAGATATGGTCCACTGCCTGACATGGCAACTACATTTTCATAGACTGGTTTAATGTAAATAGTGCTCAGGATGTGTGCAGTTATCTACAACCTTTCATCATACAGCCTGTGACTATTGACAGATTCATTCAGAAGACAGCAAATTTGTTGTTCGACTGACAGTTAAAGACTTAAAGGGACTATTATCCATTATATTTAAGACTAGAAGAACTACCTCCTGGAGCTTCCTGACAGTAAAATATGACTTACAACAAAGAACTAGGGGACACTCACAAAAACACTTTGAAATTTAGGCAGAGTAGAGTCTTCATTTAAACTCCAGAAAATATATTGTTTCTGTACCTTGACTATTTGGCTGGGGAACATAGGTTTAAGCTAGGTCCAGTCATCTGCAGACATTAATGCACTTCATATGCACTTTCCACCTAGGGCTAACCACTCAAAACTATTTGGAAAATCTGTTTTTACAACTTAAGGCTGAAGAGCCTGAAAACATGAAAGATATGTTAAATTTCTAGAACATTATAAGATGACACAAATTCCGAGAACATTCTGTAATTTCAACTAAGTAATACTGAAGAAAGATCACAAAGTATAGTAGCAATCCTAATGCTTCTAAACTGCCAGAGATGTCAACAGAAATTTTTGCAGAAGACTTCTGAGAGTGCATGCGTGTGCATGCATAACACAACAGAAAGTTAACAGAATACTACTGCAGTAAAATAATACCAGCACAATGAGAATATGTAATTGCTATGCACTGGAAAGGAGGCAAAGTAGCCACTACCTTGTAAAGAACCTTGTCTCTTTGTCCTGTTTGTACTCAGCTTGGGTCACCACATGTCCATCTCTGAAAGCCTGGGGCTGGACTGCAAAATCCCTGCTGAGAGCTACTATACAGGTATGTGAACATGTGCGAAGTCTCTAAAGCATTTTAACGTTAGGAAAAACAAACACTATGGCAACCTCATACATGCTGTAATGAGTTTGCATGAGGTTTGTATTATTTCTGTTGTATTATACCACCACTGCATATCACTATTAGAGTAACAAAGAAATATTTTAGTGAGTTTTATAAAATTCTGATGGGAACTCTGAAGAAATGTAACAAACAACAAATCATACAGGAAGAAGGAAATCATCACTGCAAATAAGACTCCTTTTAATTTTGTGTAATAACACCAGGAAAACACAAGTAGATTGCAAGCCCTAGTAACGAGATTTTTTCCATGCTCAAGTCTTTTATCTGGTCACTGCTAGTTTCAACCAACATCAGTTTTGCTTCAAATCTGCTCTTTGTCGAAAAAGGTGGGTGAGAAAAGAGGCCAGACTATTTTGTTTTTGTTGTTGATGAATGCTCATATTATTAAGTCCAAACATTCACTGGTTTCTGCTACTACTTCTCCTGTCACAGGCTCACCTTTAAGCTGAAGCTTTTAATATGGGCACCTTAGTTAAGCAGTTTAAAAATGCCTTGAGTCAAGCACTGTCCTCTAAGAATGTTGTAACCACAGATCTGCTCTGCCATCTCCTATCCAAGTTCTGGTAACTTGCTTTACATCATAATATCTAACCACCTTGATGCAAAATTGCAATGGAGGGAATTTTGTCACCAAATCACCTAACTCAGCCCAAGGTTTTGAGTAGAAGACAACATTTTCCTAAAGACTTACTACTGGGCTATATTATTCTGCAGAGAACTGCCGTTTTTCCACTGTATCTCACTGAATTTTGGCACAAATTTTCATTGTGGGCAAAACTCCCACACTTCAGCTACTTTTCACTTCCCATTTTGCCTTCAGTTGAACCTGCTCAGGTGCATTTCTAAGCTTTTTCATCACAGACAAGTAAGGGCTCACAGCCACAAACTCCCCAGACCATATAGTTAAATTTAGAGTTTTCTATTTACTTGTTGATGATATGTATGGATAGGCACGTTCTGCATGAACATGGAATCCACACAGAGCTCCTCCAACAGACCTCCACCAGCAAAGTAAGCAGACCAGGGGTTACTGTGAAAGGTGCTTATGAACACACGGTTTGATTCTGTAAAGAACTTGGCTCCTCCATGATCATCACTAGTCGATATAGGTTTCTTCTCCCAGAAAATGAAAAACCTATTTGGGAACTATATTCTCAGATACTACAACATGCAAACTTTAATATGCACATTCAATTCTTCCTGCAATTTACCAGAACCGCAGAAGGGACATTATTCTCGAATACTGTGGCAATTCACAAGTCTTTTGAGAAAACTGCTGCAACTGTTACATTGCATGAGATAAATCTTGACTCCTACCAAAAGGATGAGGATTTTGCCTTTGGCTTTTACCTCTGTTAATGAAAGATGATATAAACTACTTCCTGGGGTATGCACAGGCCCATGTTGGGATGCAAAGAAAATGTTTCAGAGATTTTGTTCTCTGAAGAATAATCTTTGCTCTGAAAGAGAAGCAACCAATCTAATCAGCCCTCATTCAGGATATCTGCTCTGTGCAGCACTTCACAGCTAGGGCTCAGACTGTGTAAGTGGCTGCAACTCCCACTGCAACCACTTATGGCTAGAACTCAAATCACCACATGTCTTTTGTATCAGCTTACCTAAAGATCCCAGACAAACAGGAAGCCAGTAACTAAACCAGGTATTAGGTCAGGCACCGTAGCTAATATTGAATAGAATTTTATTAAAATATTTTGACTTGTCAGTGGAAATCACTACTGTGTAATAGGAGCACAGAATATTCTAGCTGATAGAGGCAGTTCTCTAAAGCCTGTGAATGATGATTATAGTTCTCTGGTTAGAAGCTTCTGTAGACTTTTGCTACTAGAAAGTACTCACCAAAGTGCAAACCAAGTAAAACTTTGCTGACTAACTACCATTATATAAAATTGAAAAAAACAAAAGCATTATATTAGATTTTTTAAAAGCATTAGGGTTTTATTTCCTAGGCAAGGTGATGTTCTACTGCACACTTTAATTTAAGAAATATTGTTAAAAACACAATGAATTTTCACTGTGAAATCTTCCTGCACACACCCCTGTTCAAAACCAAGAACTTGAATATGTGAACACCAGCACCAGAAGTCCATTTCAGTCACATTCAGGAAGACCCTCCCTCTTTTGTGTGGTGCCCCCCAGGACAACACAGAGACTACAGTTTATTTACCTTTATCCCAGGGAGTCCAGGAAGCCCAGGAAGGCCTGGTTCACCCTACACAGGAAAATTACATAATATTACAGACATTATTCAGTTATGGTTACCCTCCAGTGAGCATCCCTGCATATTCTGCAATAAGATAAAAGAGCACAGATGACTGCTAATCAGCAGTAGGACTGAAATTTTCATAGTGAGTGACTTAACATGACTTTCCTCGCAGTGCATTTAAGAACTTAAATATTTACTACAAACCCAGGAAGATAAGATGAAACCCAGACTGAAAAGTCAAGTCAGTGAAACCAAAACGGAAATCTCAGCAACAGCCCTTGCTGAAAGAGGAGAAAACAAGCTGCACTGCTTCGTTTCACACAGTCACTGAAGCTCCCCACATATAACAGATGCTTAATTCTGTTTTCAGTGATGAACTAGATGTTTTGCTGCATAATTGTGACGTAGCTCCAAAGCAATTCAAAACAGCTTAGCTTGAATTGTAACGTTCAGGTGGGACTGCCTAGTTACAGTGGACCATCATTTTTATAAACCTATTTGCAGCATCATCTCAGTGCTCGGCATTTATCTATGAACAGTGTCATGAAAGCTCATGGGAATGTACCTTGCTATTGTTTTACTCAGAAATGCCGTGTTCATTTAAAGTACTAATTTAAAAAAGCTACATTACTGCATTTTCAAGAGGAAAATTTGTAACAGAAGTTGAAAACTGAATGTATACATTTTGAAGCAAAGTTCATATTATTCTAAGACAAAAAAAATAGAAAAACAGCTAAATAGAAAGATATTGCTTAGGGAAATAAAAGGGATGAACAGAAAAAAAATAAAAATAATATGTGAGGAAAACATTATTTTAAGGATTGGAGATTCTATTTTAATATAGAGATGGATTCAGATCAGAACTTGCATCTGAAAATTCTCTGAACTTTCTCAAAGCTCAGCTCCCACTCTGAAGCCAGCTTTTACCGTTATTACAAGTTAAATTGTACTCCAGGTTTCATAAACTCTTCATATTGCTTAGGGAAATAAAAGGGATGAGCAGAAAAAAACTCTTGAGCTTTACAGAAATCCAGGGTCCAACTCTGTAGCTTGGGCTGATCCCTATAGATTACACTATTAAAATATTGTGTGTGTGCATACACACAAAAATACATTCATACATTCACACATACATCCAAACATAAACATATATATACACAATAAATAGACAGTATCCACATTCAAGGCTGTAGTTAAGCCATATTATATAAACTTGAAGAGTTAATAAGATTAAATTCTACCACAAACTGAAAAATACAATGGAGGGTTGGCAAATTCCTATTCCAAGTACAGTAATTTTACATGTTACAGAAGGATGTGGTAACAGCTTTTTTGTCCATTTCAGTTACTGCAGAATTTTAACTACTCACACTGCCGAAAACCACAGAAAAGAATAATCCACTCTGAAATGATTAAGCTAGAAGACACAGTGGAGGCTGGGGCATCATTTTCGATAGAACTTGATCTGCTGCTGCTGCACTACTTATCTATGCTCTAAAGCTGGAAGTTGGTTGTCACTCTTGCAATAGCGTGAGTCTTTGAATAGCCTCCATTACATCTATTCCTGACCAAACGGTAGCTCCAAAACTTTTCCATTTCTCACCTTTCAGTTTCCTGCTGGAGTGCAAAAGATAAGTGCCAATGACACAGACACTGCAGACATTGTACCATTATTTTTTCTTATCTAACTGGGGAAGGCCCAAGTTTCACTTTCAAGTATATAATTTTGATAATTGTAACTGATAAATCTATTAGTATTGGTACAGTTGGCCACAGTTTAGTCCTGGGTCAGCGCTAACCCCTGTACACACACACCACAAGCATACAGGATCCACCAAAACCAGTTCAAATTCAAAGTAACACAGAACAATTAAAATACTTCTCAAAGATACATGAAAGAATGTAAAACACAATTAAATCACTATTGCTTCATTGCAGTTAATGCTTTAGATGAATGCATATTGTCTTTTCTAGATCCTCCTTAAAACAAAAGGTACTTGTACACTTTATAAAAAGAATGACTTTTAAAGGAAGAGAGGCTGCATACTAAATCCAGCTAAATGCTGGAGCGGTAAGAGCAAGCTGTTAGAAGTCCTGTGCAATGCAGAGGGCCTGCACAGCCCTGTCATACCACTCAAACACTGTCACAACCCATTTCAGGTAAGTAACACTCAGGTGGGCAGCTCAATAATTATCTGTCCTTAGAAGATGTAGAAGACTGATAAGGAGTAAGTGGAAGAAGTAATATATAAGGAAGGAAGGAGGAAGATACTGGAAGGAAATAGGAATGGGGCACAACAGAGGGAAAAGGACAGAGTGAGGCTGAGGGCAGGGACTGCCTCTGTCCGGGAAAGGAGCCTCTGGCTGGGGTGCATGAGGGCCTCCAAAGCCCAGGGTGGAAGAGTAGACCTGTGGGTGCCCTCTGGACAAGGTGCTCCAAGGGAATTTGCCAGAGATGCTGCTTGCCGTCATGCACAGTTGGATCCATCCCCTAGCAGGGATCTGTAGTACCCCTGCCTCAGGGAGAAGCCAGGTAGGGCAGATGGGCAAGAAGGAAATCAAAGAGACTTGAAGCAAGTGCCAGAAGTTTATGGGGACAGAAAGGTGGCACACTGGCACTGGTGGGGTGGAGTGCAAATAATATATTAGGCCTCAAAAAGCTGATAATATAAAACCTCTTATCTGTGTAGCCTCTTGCTTATCTGTGTTGCATCAAAGAGATCAAATCTGAGTGCATGGGGATTGGGGGATGCAGCAGCCTGCTCATAAATCACTGCTAGTTTTTGCCTCCACAGCAGCCAACTAATGAGGGTATGAATGTCAACAGGCTTTTAAGTACATCTTCTAGTTTAATACATAAGCAGAGCACAGTCTTAATGATTCTGTAGATTAGACAGCTTTAAACTACTTTGATCACTTTTTCTGATTAAAAATGCACTGTACTGAAGAAGTGAATTTGCAACCATAATCATCTTTGTTTAGACTGTTACAATTGATCGGAACTATAATTTCCCAGGCAAAATGACTCAACACCTTCTTTTTTTTTTTTTTTCCTCTCTCTTTCAAAAGGCCTTGAGTATTGGATAACTCACTATAGCTGTACTGACATTCCCTATACATTTTAGCTCTTCTCGGGTTTATGTTCTGGAATACCAGAGAAGTCAGCCTTCATCTGACTCTGTCCTACCCTGGCAGCAGTAGGAAATTTTCAATGTTATAAGAGGTGAGAGCGGTGCTGAAGGCTGTAGAAGGAAACCAAGCCCTGTAAATCAGAAATCTGGTCGTGTCACTGTGCCTTCTCTTTGCCCTTTCACTGGCTCTCCCAGGAAAGAGATGGTGCCTCCTGTTCTCCTGAAAGGCAGCTGAAGGTACAGACCTTACTCTGGAGTAATATGGATTCAAAGGAAAAATTCCCCACCTTCAGCTCTTGCTGGATCTATTGGTAAAACCAGCTGCAGCTGTGCAGCACCCAGGGGAATTTCTTCCCTAGAAAGGAAGGGAGCAGAATTACTTGCTCTCTGTCCTTTCAAACACTGCGCACCTCTGTCACTTTGCTTCCCCTTACGAGTATGTATGAGACTCCACCAAAAAGAGTAATAGTTATTTTTTCTTAAGGAGATGCAATAACATAACTGGGAGATTAATATTCAGTCAAACACGCAAGGTTAGCTTGTGATCACTCAAGGAACATATCCATTCTTTGTTAGTTTTACCAGCTGCAACACAGCAGACCTTCCATGCAGAAGTGCTCTGTCTCTAGAAGAGGTGCGTTATTTTAACCTTGCCTTTCATGCTAATTACTATCAGCATTCTAGTGCCTTTAAAACAAAAAATGATCATAAACCAAATGTGGATATTAATTGGCCTGTTAAATTGTTCTGCCTTGGACTCATCCTAGTGCAAAACAGTAGGGAAGTGCCACTGCTAATGTCTGTGCAACAGGATTGATCAAAATCTGACAGAGAGGAAAACAGTAAGAGAACATTTCCAAATAATACCTTTTGTCCAGGCCGTCCAGATTCACCAGGTTCACCCTAAAAGAAAAGAAATGAAAGAGATTACAGAAAATCTGAAAAAAGTAGGGTTAGACATAACATTAACAGTACTTGAAATGTCTGGGGCATCACAAAATAATGCAGAACAGCCACTCCTCTTTTCTCCATACAACTGCTATAAGCACTAAATTACCTTAATTCCTGCAGCAGAAGAACCAGGATCACCCTGATTAAAAAAAAAATCCACAAGAAATAATCACACATATGACATACAAAGATTTTCAGGAAACAAACATAACAAAACATGCAAGGCTACAGCACAGTTATATAGCAAGACAACTATATAACAAGGTTAAGTATATTCTGTGATACTACGTTATTCTTACATAGTTGATATGAAATCCATTGATATGAAATCAGTGTGATTCACAAAAGGAAAAGTCTTGCTTTCAAGAACATGCATAGGGATTTAGTTACATTCATCCAAATACCATAATAATTAACTTTTACAGCTAACAGTTTAGCTACAATAATTGCAGATTTTGTATGCACATACTGCATAAAGCCAGAAGATAGGACCTGCTTCACCAACCACAAAATGCTGAAGTACATTAAAAATCATGTGTTGACATTTACAAAGGCATAAGTGATCCTTCCTTTTAGTCAAATTCTACACATGGCAAGTGTCACGTCTCATCTGATAAAGCTTTCTGTGCTAATGGAGATTAGCCTTGAAAAAACCCAGTGATCTGTGTGTTTACCATTAAGACAGGTCATAGTTCTTTTCCACAGCTCTTCAGCATTTTCATACTGATAGGTTAACGTAGCTAAGTGTGCATGTTACAGGATGAGAGAAGTGTAGTAATCATGTATTCAGGAAAGCTCTGGTCTGAGAAAATACCTGGCTTTCAAAAGATTCTCCTGTGTTTTGCCAGGCTGCCTACATTTGATAGGCAGCGATAGGCACAAGCTCAGAGGATCAGCAAGTGACTTAGCCAGGGAAGCTTTCAGTTCTTCATACAATTTTCACAAGACCTTCACAAGTTAAACATTTTACAGGATAATAATGGACACAGTGGAGACAAGACACACAGAACTACAGTTCATTTTCATGCAAGAAGGAAAACCAATATGGGATTAAAGAAAAAATTATGGTACAGCATGTTCTCAGTGCTCGAATGAGTCAGTTTGGAAATTAAGAATTCAGCAGAATACACATAGAAAGATACTTGGTATTTATACTACAGCAGAAGAGTAGAACAATGAACTCAAGTCTGGCATTAACACTGTCTCCAAGGTAGGGCAACTCAGGAAAGGCGATTTCACTTTTTTTTTTTTTTTTTTAAGGAACAGGTCAAAACCAGTTAGCCAAGTTCATGTTTTGGAGAGTCACTGAGTGCCACAGGTCAGAAAACAAAGCTACAGTAAGTGCACAAATAGGAACCCATTCCAAGACCAAGCATGAAACTGTTGTCACTCGAGTGCTCTCTCACCATATAAATGAAAATTTAGTATTTATTTCACAGGAACATTATTTTACCTTTTAAAGAAAGGTTTTTAAGTTTTGTGATCTGTGAATGAAATTTGTTATGCATGGCATTATGATTTTGAGAATGGCCTCTTTCTCTACATAAATTTTATGGTTTGTTTCCTGAGCAGAGAGGATATATTTATGTGGATAAACATGTCAGATAACAGAACTGGCATCAGTCTCATCTCTGAGTAAGAGATCTCTTAAAAACAGTCTTTAAAAAATGAGCAATAAATGTTGCACCCTTCTGCAGGTGTTTAGTTGTCAAAAACTCTCAATACTTATGTACTTATGAATTTACATTATGTATCAAAGGCTCTAGACATTTCAGAGTCACTCAAATACAAGGCACATGTTGTGTAGTAAGGAAAAACAAATAATTTAAACTATATCAAACATGACACATCAATAAAGCTGGTTGTAAGTCAGTCCCTTTTGCTTCTATTAAGACAACTGAAAAGGACCTCACTTTCTGTGCTAATCTCCTGTCCCACTGAAAGACTTCCAGAGTCCTACTGAGCTCCTTTAAAACCCAACATTATTGTGCAGTAGTCAAGGTAAGTCAACTGCTTCGTGAGAATGATTGTGATCCCAGTGGGAAAACTGCAGACACAATATAGAAAAGAATACATAGAAAAAGAAAAGGGCGGGTGGTGGCAGGGCCTACTTTGCATGCATTCTAAATATAAGCGTAACACAGTCATCCTGATTTCCCCTCACATAAACGTGATTAGCAATTACTAGGCAAATTCACGTCTGCCTTATAACATAAATTATCATACAGCAAAAGCTTCCCCTTATGATCAAGAACAGTAAAGAATACATTGCTTGCTTTGTAGTACAAATGTAGTGTAATGACACGAAGATTAATGCTCCCTCCTAAATTATCTTTCAAAATGCATCCTCCTAAGCTCCCTACTGAAGTGCTGTTGGCAGAGTTATCTTTCAGAAACATTATGCTGTAGCTTTTCTAGAAGATCTGGATGTTTTTTCTGCCTGGCAGATCGTCTTGCAGGCAAGAAAAAAAAACAAGGAGAAAAAAAATGAAAGTCAAGTAAGTAAGCACAGTCCTGCTTCCTCTGTCCTGAAAACTCACGCAGCAGATGCTGATGCTAGCCTGTCACTGCTAAAGCAAAGGACTCCACGCAAATAGCATGCATTTCCATCCCATCTCTGACATTACAAGAAGCCTGCAGTAGATGAGACACTTCTGAATTACAGAAATCTAACGAATGTATTGATGTTATAAAAAGCCTTATGGTGACCTATACTTTCTACAAGATGATCCCAAACAGATTGCTGAACCATTTAAAGTTCCACACAGAAATATAACGTTATACTCAGGAAGAAAGGCTTTTCCACTGAAAGAGGGAGAATATTTTTAGTTCCTTAAACAAGACCTCAGGCAGGGAAATGTGAGCACTGCAGACCATAGCGCAGGATGGGCTCTACAGATAGATGCCTGCCCACTCACAGCTGATGAAGAAGAAAAGCAGCAAGCAAAGCCTCACTAGACTTACCAGGGAGATTATAAATTTTTCATTTACTTGCATCAAGGACTATCTGTCTGACAACCATCTCACATATGCCTAGCGATTATATTCTTAAATCACATAAAAATAGATCAAGAAGACATTTATCTGCACATAACCTTCCAAGTTCTTAAAACTTCCATCTGGGTTAGTAAGTATGACTGCAGATTACATACTATTTAAATTAACTCTGGGCCCTCAAACAACATATTATTCTTAAATCTAATGTCTATTTTTAACTGTTGATCTTAGTCTATGCCCCATAATACCTTTGTGTTATTGAATTCATAGCTTTCCTGTTTCCATATGATAGCACCAGAGAGGTCTAATTGCCGGGCCAACCAGAATTTTGATTAATTTACCAAAAATTTCCCCTTACACTACTCTGAAGTCAGTTGAAGTTAGTCAGTTATGTAATTAAACAGGCAGGAGATAAAGAAGAAATTATTTATACTTCTGCCCCAGTGTAGTAACTAAAATGAGGCAGCAGAGGAATTCCAAAATAATACTAATAAGCTATGTAGAACTTTTACACAAAAATACACATTAAGAATACATAAACTTATATTGTCACCAAAGACCACTATGAGTGACCCTGTCTTTCTGTACAACAAAGGTTTTGCTCTGACTTTGCTTAAATAAGGTTTAAGACTTACATGAATTAAAGTACATTTAAAAATACAAGCTCATTTTATTTTTTTTTTCCTCTACAATATAGAATAAGCACATAAAATAAAATTTTTGCAATGTCTATTCTTTAGTGAATTCTGTCCAGCAGAAAATGTGTGAGGATGTTAGCTACAGCTACACCGTATTTCTGGCCCCTTCCTTGGAAAGGAACACAGAACAGGCAATGCTTTCAGTGAGGGTGTAGCACAAAACAACTGAACTCCCCAGAGGCAGCACAAACTGCCTAGTAGGTTGTACTCCAGGTTGCTGTACAAGATGCATTCCACAGAGAGCAGCACTGATTAGAGCTGTGCTCGTGTGTCCTGAACCAAGGCTGCTGCTGCAGAGAGTCAGGAACTTCATGCTTAGTTAGATGAAAGAGTCACATTTTCTCTGTTGTTCACAGTATGAACTTGTCCCAAATCACACGACTCCTTTAAAGGAAAGTGTTTAAAAGGCACATTCCTTTTGATCACATTATTTTTTTCATTAGCTGTTAAGCTGTAAATATGCCTAAAACACATGCTTTCTTTTCTACTAATCAGTAGTCTACCTTTTCTCCTGTGTCACCCTTGGGTCCATTTTCTCCAGCATCACCCTATAATTAAAATACATATTGTTTTAAAATAATTTTGTGTAGACACACAGTATTCAGAGATAAGTCAGTATTCAAACATGATTAGCAAGTTAACTGTACTAATCTGGTAGTTAATCTCCCTGTGATATGCTCAAGAAGGGTAGTTTATATAGCTGCTATATCTTTGCCTTTTTGCAATCTTTCCTATAACTATAAACAATTGTAGAGACTCACAAAAAACATGAACTACCAAATAGCTATCATCTTGTTGGTCTCCAGACTTTTGCAGTCATTATGTTTAAGTGGTGAAGGAATGATTTCATGATGATCCAACATTTAAATTACTAATACATCTTATTTCAACACAACACTTTCACCTAAATGCATCTTATCAAAGCCTAACTTCAGTAATTTTTATTAAGATTGGTGATTTATGATATACACTGTTTCAGTTTCAGGTATTTCCCCATCAATTATGTACAAACTAGGAAAATTTTGCTGACTTTCACCCCTCCAAGAACCACCCAAACAGTCATTACTTGTAAATAAATTCTAGGCCTTATTTATTATTAAAAAGTGTTATCTGAGCATTGTGTTTTTTCACTGCTTGGTAGGTATTTACTATTGTAAAAACAAAATTTTAAAGAAACTTCCAGGTTTTTTCTATAAAAAAAAACAATTTCCATCTATATTAATTCAGCTATTTCAAAACACCAGACAACACCAAAATAAATCTTCAACATAAGAATTTGGACCAAAAACGTCAGTGGGACTTAAGGTTCCTGGGAGGCTCAAAAAATATTTAAAATGCTAAAAATATTGACAAACATTGACTCTAAATAAAAACATTTGAGTAGATCTTGGTGATATACCAGTAGTAGCGGTATTCCAATAACAGTATTTATTCAGTATGTTTCATACTACTCTGAACATTTTAATGTAAAATTCTTTCAGAGGACTTGGAGCTCATTTTCTCTATCATAGTCTCTAACACAACGGAAACTAACAATCTAGCAGCACTTTAATTAAGAGCCTGATGAAACATGAAAACACGCAAGGGTAACTATCAGGAATGTTATTCTGAGTCCATTAGACATGATTCTGCAACCTGAGGGCATTCATAATTAAAGTTTTTAAGGAGAGCCAAAAGATGTTTGTGGTGAAATACCATGATTTTAACAGATGGAAATACAAAAAAATACAATGTTAGAAGTTAGTTATTTGTGCTCCAAAATAAACAATTAAAAGGTTGTATCATCTAGACTCTAGGTTATCATTGCCACCTAATTGCTTGTACAATAGACTACTCCCTGCAGAAAACAGAGCACCAAAACCAAGTTATGAGAAATGAGATGCTTTTTCATTTAGGCAGGCTCATTTTTCTGAGTTTCATCGTAGCTGCGATTAGTTGCATCAACTGTGCAGCCTGTAATGAATGTCCAATGTTGTCCATTTATGATCCCACTGAATTCTGTGAAGTAACTTGTATTAGTATTTTTGACATTAATAAAGCCTGCACAATAGCTCTGAAGTTCCAGGTAGCAGTAATTTTTTTTGTTTGTTTATTTTTAAACTCAGAATCAGTGCACTTGCAGTTCTCCAAAACAGAACAAAAATGAAGGAAGTGAAAAATGCCTTACCTTTTCTCCTCTCTCTCCAGGGTCACCCTGATCAACATAATCAGAGCACAGAAGTCTTAAGTTACTAACATACGAAATTCACAAACAGTAATATGCAAAATCAGGAAACATCAGATAATTTATTTAATATGCAAGACGCAGGAGAGCAGTTGGAACTTCTTTAATACAGTGGATGATTCCCTAACATTAAAGAAGCAATGTCAGCTAATGACTCCAAGCAGAAATCTGATGACACTCTCAAATGAGAAAATACAACACAATACAATTCTCATGAAACAACAAAATCAGTAAGTGTAATAGAACAACCCAATAAACAATACATCTTCAAGACAATTTCAAAAGATAAACGACTTGTACGTAAGGCCTACCTTTCTCTGGGAGAGGGAGTGGAGATGTCCTGTTTTATTCTAGATTAAGCCCTGACAAACAGACATACGTCTTTGTGAAGTGACCTACTAGGACAGAGGTGACTCCTAGGTTCAGTTCTCCTTATTCAGGAAATGTACAAAGGAAATAATCAGAAGGGCAAATGTGAGGGGGAAAGTCTTATGATTCTGTTAATGGTTTAGAAGAAGGAGAAACAAAGCCTTATGCATCTTGAACTAATTCTTTATTGACTCAAAGAGCTCTTAGTGCTCCTACCATTCTCCGTAAAAAATATATATATATATTTTTTTTTAGAATTATGTTTTAATATTGTAACTAGTTAAATGGCAAATGCACTTTTATACCCCGAGTCTGACCCTGACAACTCATCTCTGCAGTTCTGGCCACTCTGGCTCATCTCTGCCCCTCCTAATGGCTGATGGTCGCTGGGCAACACAAGGAATACACTTGTGAATATGAATTAAACATAGTGCCATAATTTGGCCTTCTCTATAAACAAAGTAAGAAAAGGTTATGCTCCCAAATGGTTTGCTTTCATTCCTTATGGACAAGCAGCCAGTCAGTAAATGCAAAGAGTCTGCCCCATGCCTGTCAGCAGCAATGTGATCCCCAGCATCAGCTGAGCAGTAAATAGGCACCAAAGAGACTCTCGCAGCTGATGGGATTAGAATTCAGTATTATCATTCTAAGGCCCACAGACCTCATCACCTCAGACACAGCAAACCTCCTCTCAAACAAAGTCATCATAATTCTTTTCACACATTCTATTTCACTTGCTAAACATTAAAACAGCAAAACAAATAATTTAACAATGAAATAAAGGTAGAGACATTTTGCTGTAACAAATACAGACACAGACATGCTCCTAACGAGGTTTGTTGTTAACTTCCATAATAGCAGACTCAGCCCTCAAGACTTAACCCTGACATTCGTCAAAGAATTGACCACAGAACTTCTTGAAAAGAAGCCTGAATCACGTTGTAAGGAGTACAAACAAAGCCTTTTAAAAAGGTCCCCAAATTCCCAAACACTTCAAGCATACTGCATTCATTTGACAGTGAATGTGTATGCGTCAGTGCCACTGGCTGGAATTACACATGCACGGCAGAAGAATATGTTTCTTTATGGTGAAGTGCGTAAAGCTTTTTACAATACTGATCATTGGAATGAGCAGATCATTAAAAGCCAGTCAGGATATGAACGCAAATGAGAAAGTCTGACTGTGGTCTATATTCACTCACAGACTGTGTGCTCCTGATGTTACTCCATTTTCAATACTAACCTTAAGCCCTGTGGCTCCCTTCTCTCCTGCTACACCAGGCAAACCTGGTTCACCCTAAAGGCAAAGAAAACAAAAGATGAAGCTAAGGAGGACACAATGAAGTATATTAACAACATTTCACCTACTGTCCCATTTTGGGCAGATAATAATAAACAAAAATTTTAAAAAATTCAGTTTAAGTACTTCATAATTGGGCCCTCATCTACCTTATTTAATCTACTGGAGTAGATTAATTTTAGTCAGCTCTACTGTGTATACAATTCTACAGAGGAAGGTAAAAATGCATGGGTAACAAAACTGCGACTTCTGATTCTGAAAACCTGGCAACTAAGAACATAGTATTTCTAGCAAGTGTGCCAATTGTTTTTTCTTCCCTAAGAAAAAATACCGCAAGAAAAGCTTATCTTAAGTGATTTTGACATTTGTGCTTCTGGTCTCACATAGAAGACAGATGACGGAAAAAATGTTAGAAAGGCCAGTTTCAGAAATGGGAGAGTTTGGAGAGATTTTTTTTTTTTTTAAATCTAGGTTGCTTGCTTATTTTACATAGTCTAATACAACTGGCTGAAAAGTACATTTAAAAAACCTAAAGCTTTCATTTTTGAGTAACATCAATCCCAATTTTGGATACACTAACAGAATATATATTCTCTCACAATTGCAGTAGTCATAAACAAATCTCCTAAGTCAATCAACAATGACAATTGTTTACTTTTTTTTTCCCCAAAAAAATTAATACTGGTGTCTATTTTTTCAATTTAAGGAGCAAAACACAGACACTTTTTTTTTTTTTAAGGAATATGATAAAGAAGTGACTTGAATTTATTAAAAACAACTACAGGTGACAATTAACTGAGTAACACTTTTTATAGAAGTATGTCTCAGTTTCACAAGTAAAGTAACCCTCATCTACACAACCACATTTCACTTCCAGGGAGTATGTTAAAAGGGCATGCAAAAGAAGATCTGAAAAAGCCTAAAGTAGGGTTGTTCTATAAGCCCTTTACTACTATAAATGTATAAAAACTATTTAAGAGTTTAATTGCTAATGTGATAAATGCTAATTAAATGCTAATGTGATAGTCAAATTAGAAACATTACATAAACCCCAGTAATTCATAGCATTCATAGCAGACACTCAGAAAACCATTTTTATAGAGTATTCAAACTCAGTAGATGCAATTTTTCTGCCTTTATACACAACTTAGCAATTTTATGATGAACTGAGTAGTCAAAAGCTACAGCAGAGTTGAGATAAAAGCTGTTTACATCTGCAACAGCAGACATATTTCAATTTTTTTTATTATAAAGGGGCTTTTCTCTCTCTTACTTATACAGTCTCTTTCACATCACAGACAGAAACACTGATTCTCTACAAAATTCCTTTCTATTCTGCTCCTGAATTAGGTAATGGGAATATGTAATATATTATGTCACCATGATTTGGGCTATTCTGTGATATTAAACAAAATGATTGTGATTCTTATGAAAAATAAGTGGGATATTTTCAAAGCTGGAGAAAAATGTTAAATGTGGAACACTAGGGAGATTTTTCCATCCTGAGAAAAAGCTACCATGAAACCTGCAGGAATTAAATAACCATTTAAGTCAGGCCTTGTTGAGGCTCCTTTGTACTGTTAGCAGCTTTGGACTGATACTGTAGGGAGGCATTTGGAGTAAGAGTGGCCAAGGTTTGAAGCTGCTGGAGATTAGGAAGAAGTGCCTTAAAGGACCGATTTGAAAGGCATTGCAAGAAAACTGCCAGTTGACAAAATGAAGCAAAAAGGCCATGTGGATATGCATTTGTTTATCCTTACTATCCTGCCCAAAGGAGTTGTTGTCCCCTTGATTTTAAAAGAGCTGCTTTCTGCTGACACTTTCAGGGGCTTCTCTAATCAAAGTCCCAAGCTTGCAATTTCTTCCCAGGTTGATGCATCAGTGCAACAAATGTCAAGATCCAACAGCGTAGCTAGAAAAGCCAGAATAACAGGAGATAAGAATCATTTTATTTTATTTGAAAAAAGGTGAAAACTTCAGGCTGTTACCCAATCAGAATAAATCCCTGTTTGTACCATCAGTCTCATTGCTGACCCGTACATGTCTTCTATAGCCACCTCTGCACTTCTGGCTCTTCATGTCCTGGTCAGAGACATCATCAGACTAGAGATGATCTCTGAGAAAATGAAGGACCAAAGGCAGATCTAGGGCAGCACAGAAATGACCTTGTGCTTTTCTGCTTTGGGGGATTATCCTTTTCTATTTCTAAGGGCCAGAACCACAGAGGTTACTCCAAAGTCACTTCAGTCAAACCCACAGCATCTCCTTCACTGTATCATCAGTACAAGGAATCAGAGCAGTAAGATTAAAAATAAGGGCTCAGCACACCAACTATTCTATACTTAACCTTCCGTGTACATTCCTAGTGCACAGTAACAGATCTTTGTGCCAGGGAGCTTCCTTTTCCACCTGGCATATCCTGAAGGCATGGCAGAATCTGCCTTTATGTGCAGACATTTTAACAATCCCATCAATGCCTTAAAGGCCCCCAAACAAACAGAAACCACCCATCAAACAGACCAAAGCCATCCCAATGGTGAGCCAATTCCAAAAGCAGTTATAAAGCAAAACGATATCTAACATTTTGAAAGCTAGCAAATTGATAGTTCTTCTCCAACTACATACTTAAACACAATGCTATTTCAGGAATATTGGTCTCAAAAGATCATTTCAGTACTTTGCACAAAAAATATTTTTAAATATTTTTGTTATTAGGTATGATTTATTGCTGATTTTTAATTTTGTCAAACCTTTATTAAAACTAAGGTGTAAAATGCTGCATGTATATTTTTCAGTCCCACATAGGTCTGCAGAAGAGCAAAACTAGAGATGCCATTTAAAAGGTCAAAGACTATACACTGCTGTTCAAGGAATGATACCATGTGAAAGAAAACAAGACATTCCACAGTGCTATCTCACGCAATAATTTTAATTAGGCTTTCAAGCTGGTAAAATGAAAGAGGCTATGAAGTTAAATATCTAACCTTACGTATTTTTCCACTCAGTAGGCCATGGCTAATGCGTGGCTACCTCATGCTGAAGTTTCTCTTTAGTAGCACTGGCGGTGAAGGTGTTCAGCTGCAGAATCAATTGCTTCCTGCACATCACTTCGCTTTCAGATTGAGTCAGGATATGCAATTTTTGTCTCCTTCATAAAGAGTGACTTCGCCTCTAACATAGTCATAGCCTAACTAACAAGTTTAGTCACAGCCTTTCTACGTCCATGAACAGCTGAGTAATTGCCACTCAGGAAAGTGGCTGAATGACAACAAGGGCCACTGCTGCCTCCACAAGAATGGCAAGGCCGGGGACTGAAGCTGTCCTCAGGACACTCTCCTGGCATCCTTCCCTCATGGCAACAGTGCAGCGCAGCACTCGGTGCAAGGTACTGTCCAGTCCAAGCGATGACCAGCCCTCTCTGCACTTCTCCTTTAATCTGCTTCCTACTTGGACCATAGAATCATAGAATCACAGAATCATAGAATGCTTAAGGTTGGAAGGGACCTCTAGAGGTCATCTAGAGGGTTCTAGAGAGGTCACCTAAAGCAGATGGCACAAGACTGCAACTGAGCAGGTTTTGAAGATCTCCAGAGAAGGAGACTCCACAACCTCTCTGGGCAAACCAGAGGAACTGTGCTGTTCAATGAACACTGCAACAATGATGCACTGCAATAAAAATTAATCTGGGTTTCTTCCAAGAATGAAGCCTGTTTACATCTTCAGGGTACAAAGATGGAGTAGCATTTCCATGTACTGCTCAGTGATGTTATCCTTCAGCAATACCGGACTCAACTGACACAGGGACTGGTAGAGAAATACCCTTTAACTTCTATTTCACACAGAGTTGTTGTCTCATGCCTGGACAAACCGCAAAAGGAGGGCCCTGTTTTCACGACATGATGCAGTGTACAGATGGACAATATTAAAATATATGTTTTTTTAATTTTTAAAGCTGAAATTTAAAGTTGATAAAACACATTTAAAGATGCTTTGTATCAAACACACTGCACATTTTCTTTCTTTTTCATGAAAGCTGAATACAAGCAAATGTGTCTGTTTTTTTCAAAAACAGATGTATATGAACTTTACCAAAACACCTTAAAAAATCTAAATCTCCCCAAGCGATGCTTTCTAATCAAATAACTTTTGCACATTTAAGTTATTTCACTGAGGTCCATTTTTATACTCATGTGAGTAAAGTTTCTTACCGTCTACCATTCATGACACAACTCAATGTGGGCACAAAACATCAAGGAAAGATCTCAAGTCTTCAGAGCAAAGTTATTTTTGTAACATTTCCTTACAATTTCTTGTGCGTCATATATAGCTAATCTCGTTTGTTGTTGTTAGGCAGCAGTTAGAACATTTTGAAAATCAGTATTGAATAATATAAATTTTGTACACTATCATTCATTGTTCCTTAAACACAGTGAACGGACTATACTGTAACTTTTTATTGTAGTATTCCCTGTAAGTGTTTCTGAAGTTCAGCATGAATGCTAGTCCTTGTGAGAGCAGTAGAAGGACAAAGAAGGATAATAATGTTTACAGGCAGGGAAGAGCTACTATGTAAACTATACACTGCAGCTCTGCCAACCACCCTAGCAACACTGTGAAATACCCTTGCTGCTTTCCTGTGACCTCTCTTTATGGAGAGCTGTTCTGAACACTGAATCAAGTTGTTGATGACATCGGAACATGATATAAACTTGCTGAAGTTAATATTTCCTCCCAGCCGTGCTTGAGGATTTTTTTAAATTATTATTATTATAAATTTCTCTGCATTTTCTCACCAATTTCAATTTCCTATTATTTTGCACCTGCGTTTCCAGTGTCTTATTATTCCCTATTTATAGTTTGCATGAATACTGTGCTTGGCACTGTATAAACACCCCATAGCAACCTAACTGTTTACATCACAGGATTGAGCTTACAGAAAATAAGGCAACCCTGCAGAAAAATGTAATTTCTCAATATACTGTCTGAAGTGGTAAACGACCAATGCGCATTTCTCTCTGGTTTACATTAGTCATCATTAAATATGAAAAGCGAACCTTCAGTTTAAACAATTACACTTCCACCCTATTTAAGTGAAAAAAAAAAAAAAACAGAAAAAAAAACAGGAAAAAAAAAGTGACTTTGGAACACAAATCGGACTATGTGTAGTTGAAATCAAAACGTGGGATTCCATGTTGCTGATGTGGATGAGCTTTGACTGACTTTAATCGATTACGTACAGACACAAAGTGAGTCAAGTGAACTCACCACTTGCCCGTCTCTCCCTGGTACACCAGGCACTCCAACAGAACCCTGGGCGGAAAACAAACACTACATTTAGCAAATTAAGGTCATGAAACATTTCATCTGAGTATTATTAAGCAGGTCATGAAATATTTAATCCGAGTATTTAAAAATTATGTTCAATGCTTGCATATCTTAGAAGGACAATACATTTTTCATATATTTTGTAGTCAACCTATCTCTTCCCAGCTTATATTTTATACTAATTAGACATATTTTTATACCGTACATTTAATGACTGTCCCACTCTATATCTTATTTCAGAAGGAAATTTGAAGCTGGTGGATGCTTTCTAAGCTATGCTATGCTATGCTTAGAAAGCTATGCTTTAGAAAGTTATGCTTTCTAAATGCTTGCATTTACAAGAAATTTAAGAATTAAAATGCCAATCCATGTGATGCTCTGGGAAAACTGTGAAGACTGATCTATACAATCTAACATGGCTCCTGACCAAAACCATCCTTCCAAGAGATACTTGAAGCACAATAAGAGATAGTACTAATCTATTTTAAAGCTTTCAAGAGAAAATCTTAAACGATTTAGCCTGACATTGAAAATTAAAGCTATCCTTTTAAATTGCCTTGGCAATATTGCAATCAAAATTGAAAAACCAACAGAGGCCAGATACAAGGAGCAGACATAAAGAAGGAAAGCAAAGTATTAGCACTGAATTGTGACATTGGAGGGGTCTTTTTACAAAGCTCTCACACAACTTTTAAGTTTCTGTATGATAGACAGTTTCTATTGTAGTAATTTGTGCAGTTCTCAATACGGAAATCCAGTGAAAACCTGAGGCATGAAGAAAAGAGAAAAATTTTATGGGTTTACACAGCTTTCTCTTTTTATAATGACGATGTTGTGCAGCAAGGAAGTTGTAAGAATTATTGTTATTTTTCATTTCTAAGCACATGAACAGGTCACGTGAGTGTGACAGCTGCTTGAAAGGCTGACACTCTAAAAAGAGGTCAGGGGACTGGGAAAAGGCCGAGACTTTGCTAATAGTGAAATGTGCAGATGCTCATCATCCTTCATATAAATGAGCACCCTAGCAGTCCTGCAGGCCCTGCTTGCTTTCAGATCCAAGAACCAGTATATGGCATTCTCCCTTTTATTCACGTCAGTTTTAAGTATCATTACAAATGGAACAGGAAATGACACAAAAACCAAAATGAAATGCATCCAGAATGGATGTGTGTTCATCAATGAATAGACATGTGAGAATAATGGATGGAATAATCTTGTAAAAACAGAACCCCAAAACCTCCAAATTTGAACTCCCAAAAAGCACTATCTCGTAAGAGAGTTGCAGACCAGTAGGAAGCTGGTTGACTTCCATATAGTAACACTGGAACCCTAGCAAAAAATAGTACATTGGCATTTCAGTCTGCCCCCATGTCCCACAACAGTTCCCCCCTTATTCCTGGAGCTTCCATTTTGCCCTTGCTTCTATTTACCAGATGCAAGGCCATGACTATTAGCCAGTGCAAAGGTGCCTTAGTGAATATTTCCACATATTGTATCAGTTTCCCAGAAAACTAGAAGACAAAGCT